TTTTTTTTTCATATAGTAGACGGTTCCGGTAGATGCTACCCGAGGAAATAAAGCTCCTGCCTGTTTAACGTTATGAATTTGCTGTCTGTAAACGTGGACTGAATAAGCGAGAACTGAAAATCGGGACGTTTTTGAGTAGTAGTCGCCTGTTGTCAGCAAGCATCAGAGAAGAGGGTCTGCGAGTGAACAGCTTGCTGAAAAGAAGCAGCATGCTCACCGTCGATCACGTCGACGACATCTAGGTGGTCCAACGACGGGTTCGGGGACACACCGGCGGATCGCAACGCTCGTGTGGGTAAGGGAGCGTCGCGTGTGCGACGAACGAAACGCCATGTGAACCGAAGAGGAGCGGGACGTCCCACGGCCACGAGAACAACAACGACTCCCACGGAAGGCCGCGAGACGGCAGACATTCGCCGCTCAGTAGCGCCGCGCCGACGAAAGCCATCGTCATCACGACGTACAAACACGCCGATTCAACACTACGCGTCATCGAGGAGTTTCCCTCGACTGTCGAAGGATCCCAAGGAGATCCCCTACGGAAGCAGGTGAACAACCCGTTGTGGATTTGTGACTATTCATTTCCGCCTAGAGCCATGGATCGATTATCGTGCGCTACACTCCCACAAACAGCCCCAGTCGCACATCACGTGACGTCGTCGTCGTTTCATGTGCTTTCTGAATCGACTGACTTGAATAAATTCCCTCCAAGTGCCCGTCATCGACTTCCTCAGCCGTGAAATCCCGGCTTATCGATTCGCCTATCTGGTCCTTACCATTTCCCACTTGTGATATTTCCACTTTTGTCCAAAGTTAAACTTCATTTTTGTTCATGGTGACGTTGCTTTTGATTGTCTTCTGGATATATCTTCCCTTCATCTTAATATTCTGAGAGAAGCCTATGGCCGGCTTTGGTTTTCATGCAGTTTATAAATTATTCCCTGACTTTGGCAGTACTCACTGGCTAATGCTCTTGTGGTACCTCTAATAACTGGTTACACACTTTGGTGTTTTTGAGTCATACCTTAAAGCACATTCATTCTCCCCATTGATTTTTTTTGTACTGATGTTGTCCTTTTTTTAGTTTAATTAATTCTGAAGTGAAACAAATCGATTGAGTATGTGAATATTAATCAAAATTGGCGAAATATTCGGATAAGAAGTTGACTCGTGTAGACTTTGAACTTCTTCGAAACGATTTTCAGCTGAAAACAAGCGTGGGTGTGGCTAATTACACGTTAGGCTCAGGTTACTTAAATGTTAAGTTTTTTGCAATTTCCATGAATGGACGTCATCAATTTGAGAAGACTTTGGTACGTCCTGGCATATTTGTTCACTAGGTGATGTAAGGGGTGATTTTGCTCTTTTTTGTCAGAGTTCAATTTTACCCGATCTTTTTGTGTCAGTTTATCGAGTAGTAATTTCGATGGCCAATATAATAATCGTGAAGTGAACCGCATTTTCGTCAACTTTACTACCGAATGTTAAACTGTGTGTGTGTCAAAATTTCAGTTGATGAACAGCTGACCTACGACATCATCTCGTATGAGTTCTGTAGGAGGCGGAGTAGCGACAGATAGGAGATCAGCCTCACAGATCAATTTCGCACTACCACCTGCCTCACAGTCACATTCAACCATTATCAACGAAACGGAGTTCCCATCATTGGGGGCGAGAAGTGAGCAGTATTTAATTCATATCAATACAAAATTTATTGTTGATTGGGTTTGTTCTTTGAACTCAATCGATAACTTATCGGTTTTTTCCAAATTATCGTCAAGAAAAACCAAAAACTGCACGTTTATTTTGCAAACACAGACAAGACAGATTCATCCCGATTGGGCCCTCTCCATGTCGAAATAGAGCTTGTCCCTGTTATTCCTGCTCGAAAGCAATATCAGTAACGAACTGATTCAGACCTTCATTGGACCCTGAGTGCTGTAGCACCGAAGCTACACCGAAAATCGTCTTCAATTTGAGTGAATTTTTATGGTCTTCTCATGTAAACAGGAAAGTATCCGATCCGATAAACAATAATCAATTGAATGCTGAAAAATGAGTTTGCCAGACATTCCGAAGTGTTCAAGTTTTTCGATTGAGATCTGTGGGGCTATTAATTATGTCCAATCAGTCAACAATCTATCGCCTGCTCCAAAGCTTTCGAAACTTTGTCAGAACTCAGTTTTTTTCTGTTCAGATTCTGTCACAGTGAAAAAGCTAAAGTACCAAAAGTTTTTGGTAACTTCTGTGACAGGCACCGTTGAACGTTTTTCTTCTTTGATGGTCATGCTATCTCTACTTTGTGCTGAAGGCTGGGGCACAAAAAGCTCTTCTTGTAAAAAATGGCTGATATCTATTGCAAATCACTTGATGCTTCAGAAGAATAATTCATTCTGCTAAGACAATTGTAAATCATTCATATAAATTATCGTGGATTGCTTTTGAAAGATTAGGGAGATGGAGGTTATTTCTAGGCAAATTACTCTCATGTAATTACCGTATAAATGACTTCAATTCTCCGGATTTCAATAATATATACTCTCTCTAGTCAATTATCTCAAAAACTGTGTAATTGGGTAAAATAGAAGAATTTGAAATCAACTGTTTTTTCTTACTTTTATTGTCTCATTTAGGCACCCCGTCCGGAGGCGGATTTTCTCCGCTGCCGACGACGAGTGGCAGCACCTTCTCGGCTAATCAATCTCCACTACCATACAAGGACCAAATAAATCATCGAGCGAATTATGGTAAGGAAAAGAAGGTTTCAAAATACTCCCATAGTAAATATCACCTGAAAAGCTCCATCTCAAAAACAGCTCTTAGTTTGTGAACATTTTCAAAACACCCATTAGCTAAGATAGTGTCTGCAGTAACTGCAATTTTGTCATCATCATTTTGCTTATGAAACGAACTAACATACTGACACTGAAACTCAAGTGAGAGCCTGAAAACCTTTCACCTGGAAATGGTGCAACGTTCACAAATGGATGGGGGGTAGAGCGAAAGTCTTGAGCAAAGTGCTTCTAACTCTTATTAAGGCTAAACCTGGACCCGGCAGTAATTGCATAATTGTGCTGGTTTAAGCGATGTAGAAAAGAAGATCCTTGTCGTACGCTTTAAGCCACAAGGTGAACGTCCTAATACGGAAAGAAAATGCTCATGTGAGTACTGTTACTGCTTGATGCTTTTTAGTGGATTTAGGAATATTCGTAGCCTTTTATGTAGAACTTTCTTTAATTCAAAATGTTTATTAACGCTCAATCAAAACACGTCTTTGAACGATAAGAGTTAGAAGCACTTTGCTCAAGGGAAAGGGTTTTTAGAATGGTACTGGCTAAATTAGCAACAAGACAGGCCGTGTGGCCGTTCCGAAGTTCGAGAGTAGTAAAGCGAAAATTCAGATCAGCTAGTGCCACTTTGATGACAATTGAACTAGATATTAGCTGAATTTATCACTAATTAGGTCGATGAAAAATGTTTCATTGCCACATTTTGATTATCGATCAGTAGGTCTCAGAAATCGGTAGATCAGCGCACCCTGAAGGCGCCAATTCTCGACTTTGCGCTTTTGCCAATCTGGGCACTTCCCTCCTCCGTGTTTGTTCGTCTTTGATTATTTTTTGCATTCAGCGTTATGGACCCTGAGAAAGCGTGAGTGTGACTGGTGGGAGGGAGCTAGGTTCTACGCTAGGACTTTATTTGTATATGCTTATGATCGAGATTTCATTAGTCAGTTTTTAAATCGGAACCTTTGCTTGATTTATCTCTCATGCAATTCGACGACAAAATAAGTAATCTTTACTTCTCATAATAAAGCCTCTGATAATCAATACCATCTGTGATCCACTTATATGACTCGTATTTGTTAAAAGCTTTTCAAATCACTGAATCGGAAACGCCAATTTGACGAGACTCCAGGACCCTGAGGGCTTTTCTTTGCATGATACTGAAAACACCATTGTTCACATACGACACCATTGTTCAGGGATTTCATGTCTAGCCAGCAGGAAAAAACTGCTCCTTTCCTTCGCTAAAGATCGTTATAATTCCAACTTTAATGTTTGGGAATCTCGATTTCTCGATCTAAAGTCAAAAANAAAAAGGTCGCCCATTTCTGGACCCCCAGTAGCTGACATATTACAAAAGCGCTTTCCTTTGTGCCAATTTTGTAAGAAATGCTTTTAATGTGGCAGGAATCTTCCCATCATATTGACTAAGAGGGTGAAACGTTTGTTGAATGACGACGTCAGCACGCTCACAGATGTTTATTGACAAAATTAAATTTCATTTTTCCCCGTCACCTATTTGACAGCGTCACAATCAATGCCGCCCACGAATAGAGTCCTGTAGTGATATGAGGTATCGCATTCTTATTATATCGAACTTTTGAACTCTTCCAAACTCGAATTCGATACTTGAAACTGTATCTGCAAGTTTGAAGTTAAATTTCTTATTCAATTCGTAATCATATGATATATCCATCATTTCTCCATTCAGCCAATATTTGCGACTATGCAAAAAACAGCTAAACGTCTTACCGTTTGAAAAAACTTGGCCGTTGAAAAAGAAATGGAGTAGCGGAGAATTGCTTTTTATTCCATCTGTCGGGCTGATTGAGTCATTGAATAGGACTACTCAACGTGCATAGAAAAAGGGCAGTACTTTTTGCGTTATATCTCCTTGCTCATGGTTAATCGAACCGATCAGACCTGTAATTTCAAAGCCAGTTTTTTTCAAGAAGCAGTTAGACGTCACTCTTAATAAAGCTAATGAATAACGCTTTTGTTATCTAATTGTGAAGAGAGTTCTGAACTAAATTGCTGATGTTTTTGTGTTAATAACGAATCTGCGTGCCGAATCATCCCAGCGATTCATCCTCAAGCAATAAACTTGCTTAAGAATGTGTTAATTGGGATTTTCACTTCACTATTTACTGTTTTTCAGTTTTAATGAGCTGCGTTACATGGTAAGACGCTATTTTTTTGATTATTGGTGGTGCTTTCGACGTGATGTCTCAGTTAGCTGATGTTGTTTTGCCGCAATACGCGATGAGAAAAGTTGAGGGCAAGCTGGGTGTCGGTAGTGTGAGNGCTCACAGCTCGCCTATCATATGAGAAATCTGTGTTGATTCACCAGTTTCTCCCCAAATCGACCAAAACACTATATTTGACGGCCCTATAATTAGTCCTAAAACAGGTCGTCTTATAACTAAGTCGTCTAACTGCAGTACTAAAAGTTTTGAGCATTCTTTCAGTCGTTAGCAGGAAATAAGCAGAAAGCTAAACAGGTGTTGATTTTCGAAACGATGCGATTGATTTACAATCTGTTGCAATTATCTTCATCTTGCGTACCTCATGACCTTATTTATATTTGCTTTATGAACTTCATTGACAGTTTCATTCAATTTGTAAGCTGAATTGCTGTTTCGTTAGTTGCACTTCTAATTTGGATAGAGCACTCTGTTTTTGTCCCATGATCTCTTAAAAGCGATTTTTCCAGTACATATCGAAAAGGCACTTGGAAAGTTTAGACTCCTATGTAATGCTTATCCGTTCTGTAGTCGATTTGACCTAAGAGTACACACCAATTACCTCAGAGAGCAGCTAATCGACCAATAACCGTTTTTTCAAATTCCTTTTTCTCGATTTGGATTTGAACTATGATCAAGCAAATCGAGTTTCCCGATGCACATCTCTTTAGGAATAGTGCCTTGATTTCCTTTTCTGTTGCAATGTAACATTTTATATAAATCTTCAGCACTCATACGTGCATTTCGAAGTTTTTTTTNTTTTTTTTGTGATGCTGTATTGAAGGAATAAGAACGATAGTGATTCATCGATATCATTACAGCTGTTTCCGTGGTTTCACGGCATGGTACCAATTAATAGTAATATTTGTTCAGTAAATGAATAATGTTGGTAAATTTCAGCGACATTGATGCGAGGCGTTGACGCCTCTTTGAATAATCCCGAGTTCCAAATCCAAAACGAAGATTTTCCGGCGTTACCAGGTGCTTCACCAAGCGACCATCCCGCCCAAGCGCCTACGTCTCTCGTAAGCACTTTTCATTTCACTTGTTTCATATTCGCTTAGCTATTGTGTGAGTGCGTCAGCGATAAGGCAATGATTTACTGTCAGACAGCGTTCATTCATTGTTCCTATTTCATTGTTATTCATTAGAAACAATCTTTTGAACTTGTTAATAATACAGCAATCATCATAAGCTATAATAGCTTCTTGCTCGTATTGGCTGCATACCGATTGTTCCTTTAGCTGCGCTCTCAATACACGTGTAAATAATCTTTCCCCTTCTCTAAGTATGAATTATAAAAAGAGCGAATTGTTGATCGTTGTTTGAATCAATTTCCCGTCAGTTCAGATGACGGCTGCAAACGATATGCCAGTGTCGTCAACGACTGCAGCCAGTGATCCATTCGGTGTTCGTCCAGCTGGTGAACCAGCGAGGGGTATCATTACGCATCCCGATGGTGGGTATTCAGTGATTACTATTTTTGTCAAATTTTCGTTTTCTCTAATGTTCTCCGTTGTTAGTGTAGCAAATGAAGCGTTAAGCGCTCACACAATCGTGCGCAGCGGTTTTTTCTCTATTGAAAGTCGTGAGGTTGCCTCGATTGCGAAACAAACTACCAAATTAGGTGAACCTTGAATAATGTATAATTCTATTTCATGCCTTCCATCTCCTGTTCTGTGTTAATGCTATTCTACGAAATGATGGTTTCGGTTAGGAATCAGTATTGAGAGACTAGTAAGGACCAGTTGGGAGGGTTATTTTTCATTCATAACTTCTCATCGCTTCCCCGTGCTGTCCGAACTACTGCCAGCGTCATTTTTCTGAGCTGCTCATTACTCTTCCAGTGGTTCTCTCACCCTTTTACGTTTACTCGTTCAGGAACGCTCGTTTCTAGTAATTGCTGTTTCACTAATTGGAAGGTTCTTACGAATCAGTGCGGGTTTTTCTATTATTTTCAGTAAAATGGAATTATAAGGCTCTATGTAGGCGGAATCAAAGTGTTCTTGCTAATCCCTGTGTTTTTGCCGAATTTATCCAATTTCTTCAAATTAGCGTTCTCATTTCCTCTAAGAATTCCACAAATATGAGGCATAAAACTACAATCAACTTGGCCAGCACCTTTCCGTAGAACTCGCAATGGTTATATCATTTTTATTGTGTGGATTTCTGTGTTTTGTTTTCGTGAGCATTTACTGCAAGTGACCTAGATACGTATCAGTCGTATCGACTCCGAACATGTCGGTATATGCACTTTAACGCTAACATTCTGCGTTATAAAAATGACACAGCGAGCCTGTTTGTGTAGCCTATTTCAACTATTCAGTCACATACCAAACATTATTGGATGCTCATTTATTTCTATGAATACGCAGCCTGATCTTTATTAAGTATTTCCCACTGTTGATTGCCCTCATGTGTTGTGATGATAATTCCGTTTATAGCTTGTATCCATTAGATGAATCGGAAAGTCAGGCATTCGGCGAGGGAAATGATACGGCTGTAAATGATGCTCTGCGATTCGTCATAAATGTATAGGAGGGAAAAGGGGAGATCCCTCGCCGTCTTTGATGTAATCAATCAGTGCATATTTAGCCGTTTTCTTCAGCAAAATCACACAGTCCCTAACGCCCAAGGCACGGAGTGGGAGGAATCGATTAATCGATATGTACCTTTTTTNTTTTTTCTCGACTCATTCTCTTCGAATACAAATTCACGAGCTTGATCAGTACAAATCTGTCCCTTTCCATGTCCCTATTTATCTATTTATGGATGGCGCATGCAGTGGTGAAGGTTATTCAATCTTACTGGTCGCGTCAGGGTTTTTAAATTTGCTGGGTGATCTTTTACGGCTTTAGTACGGTATTTGTATGGCTGGGAGAATCAGATATGCGATACCGGCTATCTTCATGATTAAAAATCGTTTGTATTTTAGGAGAAGTGTCCAACATTCCTCCGACAATGCTGGCCGATCAATTCGGCATGGCAGGACTCGTCACCTACCTGCGAACCGTTGATAACCCTTCAATAGTGTCACTAGCTCTCGGTTACGATCTCACCACCCTTGGACTGAACCTGAACTTGTCTGAGTACGTTTTACACGAATTATGGTTTTCGTTTCCACCTAAGGTAGGTTTAACCTGGTCAGTCGGTTTTCTCAGTCTTAATCTTCAAAAATTTTCGCCTTGCATTTTTTTCTTGTGTTAAGCATAGGAACCAATGTTAAGAATTACAGGCGACATCTTTACACCTCATTCGGTGGTCCCTGGGCTGACAATCCGATTCGGCCGCACGAACTGGATGTGAAAGTATGTTAGCCGGAGTTTTACAGCCTTTTTAATTTGTTATCTACGTGTTTTTTTATATGTTTACTCTGTTTGCAACTTTAATTGTGTTGGAAATTTCATAAGACCCGAACAATAGGCGAAACCCCCTAATTGAGCTAGTCTGGTACATTGGAAATGTGGGGTTATGAGTGGTTCTCGGAGTAGCACTGAATTGTTCCAAGGTAATGTCGATACCAATTTAATTGGATTAGAAATGGTGCCTTTCCGTTTCCCCGGTCACACACGATTCTCGTTTTCGAAGCCTTGTTCACTGATGGAATTGCCTTCCCATAAAGTTTTTGATCGTCTTATATTTTAGGTACCCGATGACTACTTGACAAATGCTCAAATTCGGGAAAAGCTGCCTCCGGTGAAGTTGAACAAGTTGTCAGAGGATGTACTGTTCTACCTGTTTTACAATTGTCCGGGCGAAGTCTATCAATTAGCGGCTGCTTGCGAATTGTGAGTTTATTCTTAACAATACGGAATGTGTTTTATTATTTGCGCTTCTTTTCTGTGATTGTGTGTTAGTACATCCCCCTCTGAATGCGTGTTCAATTTTTGGCCAGTCCATCCACTGATAACTAGCCTAAAGTTCCCTTTTAACTGAGACAATGGCACCTCATTGTCAGAGTCCTTCCAATGTGTATAGATGTATGGTGTAATGCGAAAATTTCCAATAAGCATGGACGTGCGAGTAACTGCTGGTTGCTTACGTGCATTGGTTTTAGAATATCACTTTGTACCACGTCATCTATAATACATATCATTTATATGAAGAATCGTTGCCCCGTCAATTAGAATTGTGTTGTTTTATTCATTAGACGTCACGATGATTTCAACGTCGGGGGATGCTCCATGTCTTTAAGTATTGGTTCTGACACGTGGAATTGTTCAAACACCAATGCCTGCGATTCGTGTTAGTTTCAGTGAACGATCAGTCACATATGCCGTTTCAGGTACCAAAGGGATTGGCGATTCCATAAAGGAGACGGTAATTGGTTGACACGATCCCAATACGGTGGTGTTAAGGAGCAAACGGGATCGTATGAGAAAGGCCAATACAACGTTTTCGATCCATTACAATGGCGAAAGGTGTGTAATCTCAGCTTTTGTTTATGATTAGCAGCAATTCTGTACGTTTATTTTCTTTCCAAAAGATTCGTTCTTGGTTCTCTTCAAAGGTTCTGTCCTTTTGAGCTTATAGACGGAGACACTTGGCGTAAGTTGTAAATTATTCCGTCCATACTGGTGGGTTCCTGCTCTTATTAAAGAAGGTGCCAAGATGGGAAAGAATTTACTAGGATAGAGGTGCATTCGGCTGAGTATCTCCGTCCATACGCTCTGCTGATCAAGGGCTCAATGCCGAGCTTGTGTTGTGTTGCCTCACCATTTCATTGTTACAGATTCCAAAGGAGCTGAAATTGGAGTACAAAGAACTGGAAGAACGGCCGAAGCTGCCGGCGATGTTCGGTGGCGGTAGCGGAGCGACAGCACCGTCAATGGGCGCGTCGGCGCCTCGTCCGGCGTCGTAGTGTATCGGAGAGCGGAGCGGTCGCCTGCACGTCCTCGTGGAGTGCGTCGCGCGTGCTCGATCAGTCAGGTTCTGTGTGTTTCCACAACGTTCACCTCCAATCACCTCCTTACCATCGCATTGTATTTATAGCCGCTCCTCCACCTCCAATAAATGTGTGTCTTGTGGTGTTGTCAAAGCAGTTTGATTGCCCTGGCAACGTCACCAAGCTTTCCCCATCCCACCACGTGTTTATAAACCCTTCCCCCCTCCACCCCCTCAAGCTGTTATGGTGTCTAGGTGTCGTGACACCGAAATCGCTTTCTTCTCAGCCAGAGTCCGTCGTGCATTGTCTCTGATCTTCTGTGTCGGGTACAAACGGCCGCGGCGGCCTTCCTTTCATCCCGTTTTTCATCTCACTAAATTCTCTTTCGTCATTGTTACGCGTTACAAGTATTAAAAACGATAGTCGTCGGTTTGATCTACTTTGCCCAAAATCATCATTCACATCCATAATTCCTGTCTGATCACTGCACGCCCACTTCTGTACCATCTAGTCTCCATGCGTGCACGTATCATCCACCCGGTCGGGCGCCGCCCTTGTCCGTATAAATCGTACTTTCGTTACAATTGTAATAAAGCATTCTACTTCACTTTGTATTTCACATGTATCGTTTCGAATCCCTTTTTATTATTCAGCTTTTCAAAGGTCGAGAAATAAGCCCAGACCTTAGCACTTGAAATCCACAAGCATCTTCTGTTGGAAATCGAACAACGCCCATGATACGAAACAACTGTGTATGCAGTTGCATGGCGGCTGATATGCTTTAATGTGTACACCCACTCTGAATACGTCGATGGAAAACTTCCACTTTGTGTATGCACGACAATGACTGCCTTCGATGAAGTTTGTGGACAAACGACCACCCATGCGTTATAATCGAATCCAATCCATTTGTAACAGCAGTACATCGGCAATTTATTTCTACAAAAACTAATACAATGGCAAAGAAGTTTCAAAGAATATTCAATGTCCTTCCATTCTGTTTATCGAGCATCGTACACCATCACTAAAAAAGTGCAGTTGATAACAGCGGCAGGGCTTGAACAGTGGCCTAGGATTCTGCTGTTAACTGAATTCGTAAAGTGGTAAGGGGATAGACCTATAGTTCGGAAAACGTCGATAAGCATCAGTCAAATGCGTTGTTTTTTCAACAACCCGTGCATCACGTACGGGGCCATCACAGAAAACTTTTAACAATGCAAATCTTAGGATCGTCTTCCTCGTGAATTGAAAAATGTAGATGAATGCCCACTTAGCTGAGGAGAAGAATGTTGAAGTTGAACTTCAAGGTAATTATAACACATGAGAATGATGGCCTTTTGTAATAACAAGACAATCTACTAGCTACATATGGTAAGTAGGGAATGACACGTCTAATTAGGTTTCCCATTTGGGTAACTCACATTTCCTGCTCCTTTTCTTGTACAAAATTCTATAACCACACTCTCGACATCGAATAGCGTCCTTAGGTCGGATTTCGTTCTCATAATGACATTCTAAAAAAGTGCCATATTGAATTCTTTCATATATGAATATGTGTGACCTCAGCACTCTCGTTAACATACCTTCTTACATTCTTAACCATCAGGCATAAATTACTGCCGAATTACTAGGATGACTATGTATTTACCTACCTGATAAAGACAGCACCAGTAAAATTTTCAGCTTAAGATAGCTTCTGGGGATTTAATCATATGATAGCAAAATTAAGGATCTGATGGAGATCACTCCGAAAAAACAAATATTACCAATGGCTTGCTCACCTATTTTATTTTTTGATTTGAGGATAAAGTTAATGAGGAGGCTGTTCAACTATATGGTCATTCAAGGCACTTTCTCCATTACCCTTTATGAATAATACATAAAAAACCGACAAAACAAAAATAGTCAACTTCAAAATTTCAGAGATACTTACTTCGACAGTAGGGACACTGTTGCAACTTAAGAAATGAATGAGGAAACCAAAATAGAGCTCGTTTCAGATATTACTACGACTAAACCCCGTTGATAGCTTTAAGAATTAGAAGTGCCAAAGACACATTTCAGAAGATTCACAAACTGAATTAACACGGAAGCAAGTGACGTGGTGGAAACAAACCCCACTTTCTGAAGTTGTTACACAAAATAAAAGTTTAGAAAATAAAACAACTGAGATACCTCCACAAATGTAAATCATACTTGTTGATTTTGGACCGGCAGCTGCTCCACCGGGCATTGGAGTCATACCACCCTCCATTTTCTGAAAGAATGACAATTTTAATGGTATCAATTCGCCAAATGGAACGAAAAATTGTTTGTAGAAATAGATTAAGGACGTATTCACACAAGAGATAAACCGGGCAGAAAACTCGTGGCGCAATTTTTTTCCTTACGAAAATCGCCGCACCGCAGCCGCAGGAAATCGCGTACCTGTCATAATTTAGATGGCGGTGGAGCACCTTATATCGTTAGACACCTGCAGTTCCGTTATTTTGCTGGATTGCTATTGTGCATTCAATTTCATTGTTTATCGTTAAGTATCTCAGGCAATTTGTAGGTTTTTCGGAAAAGTCTGGTGTAGTGATCACAGAATTTTGATGGTTACTTTGTTTCGTTAAGGATTTGTTCCAGGATCAAGATGTCATCTGAAACGTCAGCGACGAATACACCCGATGTGGAAATGGCATCTCTCAGAGGGAATACAATTGGTAGTGCACCACAGCCGACAGATTCACGACCGTTTGTGTTGAAGGTATACTTTCAGTGCCACACGATTTCTTGATTTTTATATTTTCCTTGTTGCGGTTCGATGTATTACTCCTCGGCTTTTAAATTTACCTCTGATTGATTAGTGTGCATATCTACAACACAAAAGATTGGCATTGAATTCATGGAAACCAGCTGCAACCCCTTGAATTCGAATGAATCTGAACTGTGGGTTGGCAACTGCATTTGCTCGCTGCTGAAAACTCGTCAGCAGGGGTTCTTATTTCGTAAAAAAGCCTTTTTGAAAAGCCGGAAGGTGGGCGTGAGTGGGACTCATTTTCCTCACTATCCTCATCTTTTTCAAATTGTAACAATTTCGAGTTCATTCTGTTCAAAGAAACAGCTCACACTAAAGGGAATTTGTCTAGATATTGTATTAACGTCTGTGTTAGCTGAAAACACGAAAGTTTACTAGATTTTTTCCCTAATTCATAAGCACCAATAGTGTAGAGTATGTGACGTTCGAGATTGAACTGTTTTTTTAAAATCATTTTTATTTGCCAAAATATGGATATATATATATATATATATATATATATATATATATGTATATGGTAGTCTAATGAAATCAGTCGCACTTGTCGTTGTTCATAGTCATATCTATTAGCGTAAATAACAGTCTAAAGGCGGGTTGTTTCATTGGTCTTCGATATGCTAAGTGCGCCAATCAGCACTTTTCTTAAAAGTAACTACCATGTTTTATACTAATTAGTGCTAATTGGGATGTAGGTGTCCTAGCGAACCTTCCTCTTCCTCGTTTCATTGGGAGGCGATGCAATATCTATGCGAATTCTATCCACCACTTTGCATCAACCCTTAGAAATGAACTTCAATGACAAGGCAATTAGACTCTGCTACCTTCTAAGGCTAGGCTTCTTTGTTTATCTGAAGATTTTGCATAAACTTCCTAATATCTTGAAACAGAGTTCCAAATGTGTGAACAGTATAGGCCAACGGTTTAAGACTATTTAATGTCGTTTGCTATTGAGATGTTCTTTATTATTTAGTGGGAGAGATAAAATTACAATCCATCAAAGATCATGTCGGGTTTAAGAGGTCGAAATGNCCACCACTTTGCATCAACCCTTAGAATTGGACTTCAATGACAAGGCAATTAGTCTCTGCTACCTTCTAAGGCTAGGCCTCTTTGTTTATCTGAAGATTTTGCATAAACTTCCTAATGTCTTGAAACAGAGTTCCAAATGTGTGAACAGTATAGGCCAACGGTTTAAGACTATTTAATGTCGTTTGCTATGGAGATGTTCTTTCTTATTTAGTGGGAGAGATAAAATTCCAATCCATCAAAGATCATGTCGGGTTTAAGAGGTCGAAATGGTTTTAATTAACTTGGAATTTCTAAAGCATGTCGATCTGATTCAAGTCTGTAACAAACGCTCAACGAGTCTTGGGACTCCCCAAGGTTAGAAACCGGCTAATCTACGAGATGTTTTTTTAGGGCTATGTCTAGCAAGCAAGCTAGTTGTAGTGGTAAAAAATACGTAATGATACCTTTTGTTTCTCGATCTTTCAAAATCTTTTGTTTTGTTTTTTATTTGGCGGTGAGGGAAGGAAGGGGACTCATGTTGCTGCTGAACTATGAAACAGTCTTATCTTGAAGGGGACCAAAGAAAAATGCTTCGGCGTCTTTTAAATTGTAGCATACAACATAATTGTTTGTGTTTATTGTTTACGAATTAGCAAGCTTTGTTTTTCTATCATTTTCCTGCATTGTAAAGCATTTTACCCTTGATCCAAACAGCACAGCAGCGTCGTCAAACTGCTTGTGTCCCACTGCTTTGCAGATGTAGTTCCTTTGTGAAAAAAGATTCCCTTTATTGCTAGCACGTTTCTCACTCCACACCTTTCATGTTCTTGTGACTGTTCCTAAACATCTCTGAACACCTATTCGTTCAGAAATGGAACGCATTGGCTACGTGGGCATGGGACGTCGATTGTGATACGTGTGCTATTTGTCGCGTTCAGTTGATGGAAGAATGCCTTCGATGTCAAGCAGATGCCTCGTCTACAGATTGTGTCGTTGTGTGGGGCGATTGTAATCATGCATTTCATAATTGTTGCATGAGTCAATGGGTTCGACAGAACAACAGGTGCCCATTATGTCAGCAAGATTGGGTTGTGCAACGAGTCGGTCGATAATACATTTATTTTTTCTCTGTGTAATGTACTTATCATATTTACGCATGTATAATTGATTGCTGTCATAGTGTAAATATTTATCACAATGCAGAATGGTATAATATTGTTTTCGTCGTTCATGTGATACACCAATGGAATCGTATATGAGGGTCCACAAAGTGGTACAAATCGATGCTGATCAAAATCGACTGATCAATATCGGTTGTTGCCATTGCATTGAAGTTCATGTCTTACCTCCTGTACAAATTGAACTTTGCTCGTTACAGGTCGCAAGGGGTTTAACTATGAATCCTCTTATAGGCTCTATTCTGCGATAGTTTACGTTTCAAAAGCCATTTCTCAAGGAAGAACAAACACAAAATTAATTACAATTTTAATGGCTTATATATGACAGCCGTAACAGAGTACATCATCGAAGCGAACGGTTACTAGAGGCTACTTATACGCTACAGCAGGCAAAGTATGACCAGGAAATCCCCAGTTGGATGGGTGTGTGTCATGTCGTGCGTCCAAGGGTGCGCGCGACAAATTGCGCGGCGGAGTTCGTGGCGAATTTGGACGACTCCGGCGCCTATCATTGGGAGCCGAAATCTGAAGTAAGGTAGATTAGTAAGGTCAGCTGATCCTACTATTCTACTGTAC